TATATTTACAAATCCATTGTATAACCACGCATCAGAGATGGAAACCATGTTTTCGTCGCAGTGAAATTTGACAATGTAAATTGCAGAAAATGCAGGGAAGGATATACTTACTAGAAATGAATTTACCTTCTTAATTTTGCCATGATAGTATCATAATCTTAATTTTATTATACCAGGGGATCTATGACGAATATGTAGAGGTCTTACAAACGGAATGATAAATTTAACATACATTCCCTTCCAAGGTGGAGTGTATAAAAACGCGAAAATTTAATAAAGGTCTACATTTCTTTTTATACCCTCCACTATACTATGGAGGGTATATTAATTTTGTCATTCCGTTTGTAGCTCCTCGAAATATTCATGTCAGACCCAACAAAGTATATACATTCTTGATCAGCGTAAAATTCTAAGACGAGTTAGCCATGTCCGTCTGTCTGTCTGTGTGTCTGTCTGTCTGTCTGTTGTAATCACGCTATCTTTCGAACAAATTGAGATAGAAGGCTAAAATTTTGCACACATGTATTTTTTCCCAGTAGGCAGGTTAAGTTCGTAAATGGGCCATGTAGGTCCAAGTTATCATATAGCCCCCATATAACGGTACCTCCCGATATTCGGTATTTTGATGATTTTGGCGACACTATTCACCGGAATTATTTCAAATTAGGCATTTGAAGTTTGCAATAGATGCTACAGCCTAAGACAGAAAATTATTTGTGCAGGTCCACGTCTTCCTGTAGCCCCCATACAACGGTACCCCCCGATATTCGGTTTTTTGATGATTTTAGCGACATTGTTTACCGGAATCGTTTCAAATTTGGTATTTGAAGTTCGTAATGGATACTACATCCTAAATCAAAAAATGAGCCATGTAGGTCCACGTCTTCATGTAGCCCCCATATAACGTTACCCCCCGATATTCGGTATTTTGACGATTTTAGCTACATTATAAACAGATTTTTCTTCAAGTTTCGCATTTAAATATTGTAATAATTTATGACAAAAGTTGCCTATGCAGGCCCACGTCGTCGTATAAGCATTCGGTATTTTTAAGATTTTAACAGAATTTTTAACGGGTTTTATTTTTTGGAAATTGCCAAATTTGTCCCAAATGGTGGAGGGTATTAAAAGTTCGGCCCTTACAGCTTTTTTACTTGTTTTATTATTATATTATTTTCGCAACAATGTTCATATGTATGGTAGAGTAATACAGGTAATAGCAAGAGTTTTTGTACAAAAAACGTAGCAACAACCACATACAAATTTGTTTTTGTACGCAATATAGTTGTCAGAGATATATGCCCAAAAATGACAACAAAACAATTAATTTTCAATAAATTACTTCAATTTCAATAATATACATTTTTGGAATTTGGGTTATTAAATTGAAAATGCCGAAGAATAGTTCCTCAATTATATAATTTAGATGCTTTTATATATTTCCCTGTATGTATTCTCTTTAGATGTGGGTCCAAATCTCTCAGCACTTCAAGCAATCGCTAGAAAGTCGTGGAAAAACAACATCACTTTCAAATTGAAACCAAACTTCATATAAACATAAAGTATACTACATTTTTCAATTTTAGGAAACCTGAAATATACGACTTTATTACTTAATGTGGAGTCGCCTTTACCGCGAATAAAACTTCCGCACCATCGGCGTTGGCGTTAAGCAAAGTATAACAGCGTTATTATCCCTTATTAGGGAAAAAAGTAATTAATGTGACATTTTATATCAAAAAGAAATGGAATTAAATCATAAAATATCTAATCGAATTTGACACTTATGGTACAATAAGGAGGTAGAACAGCTTCGTAAACTACAAACTACAGACCTGAGGCTATGCCCGCTTCCTGACAGACCCATTCAAAGTTATATACAACAAGTTGTTTTATACTTTTTTTTTTCACATTTTTCCTTCTTTTTAAAATGAGTTAAATAGTGCGTATGTGTGTATTTCATTCATTTCAGATTTTTTCTAAAAAATATTATCCAAACTTGCAAATTTTTCAATTTCATGGCTAAGCTGTTTAATAGCTTTAGTGCGCGAGCCGCAATGTAGGTATCTTCCAATCATTGCTGTTGAAAATATTTTGTTTTCATTTTGATGTCGGGCACACTTAAAAATATTGTAATCAGCTGGTAGCTCTATCTTACCTTTTTGTTGTACCATGGTATTACTATAGAGTCAATAAATGACGTGGCCAGTTCTTATCACATAGATATTTCTTTGTTCATTTTTTATAATTGGGTGGATCCCCTCCATAACAAGGAAAAGCTTTTGTACACCGTATTGCCAGACGTTAGCACAAACCGAAATATCTGCTTTCCTATTGTTGGTGACTAAACTTTTTGTTGGTTACTTTGTTGTTTTTATTTTATGTAAACAAAACGGTATACATATGTATTTTGTCGCCTATATAATCGCCATACGGTAAATTGTAGCTTTACACCAACAATGTTTGAACTCACTTCCAACATTATAATCTACTTCTCCGAGATTACCATAACGATCATAATTACAATACCGATCACGATAACAATATATATTATGTGACAAAAAAAGTATTTTCCATAAATATATTTCATTGCGTTTATTTGGTTGTTAAGGATATGTCAACGGGTGGAACATGTTCAATTTGTGCCGATATATTAGGTTCCGATGACATATGCAGCACTATATGTGGCCTCATATATCACTTCGAGTGCCTGTAAAATTGGCTCCAGAGGTAGGTAAAGATTATGCAACAATAAGATATTTAAACAATTTCTTCTTCAAGGTTCAACAGGTGCCCTTTGTGCAAACGGGATAACCCGCAACCACATCGCATTTATTTGGACATCGAAGCTTTGGGAGGACTGACTTCAAGTAATGAAATATATGAAGTTATAATTAAGAATGTTCAGCCAAATTAAACAGATCCGATGTCAACCATGATATTAATTGTTGTTATGCAAATTCCTACAACTGAAGCGACATATGCACTTCACGTGTCGTTTAAGAAGGCTCTGAATAAGGATATATTTTTGAGGAACAAATATAAATTAAAAAGGTGTCAACATACTTCAAACATGCGTTTATATGAATCACTGAATAGAAAACAAAATAAACTCTTCACTTATAGCCACAAGTTGAAAGAAAAAGGTTACAACATATTTTTGTGAGGAATAAACAATATTTGTGAAAAAGAAAAAAACGTTCACCACAAAATGCAATCGTCTCAACAGAACAGGTTGACCAGCGATTTACTCCACAGGTACCAGTAAGAAGACCAATGTAGTATATCCGAGAGAACAGAATGCAAATGCGATAATCTAAAAAATATATAAGTAATTATTTGATTTGTACATACGCAATATACCATAAATAAATAAAGCAATAATATACAATATTATTATCAATGGTTAGTCATAATCATTTTTTCACAATGCTTGAGAAACTCTTATGCCAGCGTTACCTAAAATTCAACATTGACAATTGAACAATTTATTCAATGTTGTACAACAAACGTAAAAACAACCAAATGCCACATCTACGTAATACAAGTGTCAGAGTTTTATGTCCAAAAATGTAAACAAAACAATTAATTTTAAATAAAATACTTTAATTTATCCAAATCTCTTAACACTTTAAGCAATCGCTAGAAAATCGTGGAAAAAGCAACGTCCTCCTCAAATTGAAAATAACTGCATATATATACAAAGTATTCTACATTTTGGGAAACGTGAAAAATACGATTATATTACCCTATACGAACACGTGGACCTGCACAGACAGATTTGAAACAATTCCGATGAAAAATGTCGCTAAAATCATCAAAATACCGAATATAGGGAGGTTCCGTTATATGGGGGCTATATGAAAACGTGGACCTACATGACCCATTTAGGAACCTAACCTGCCTACTCGCAAAATAAATATGTGTGCAAAATTTTAGCCATCTATCTCAATTCGTTCGAAATATGGCGTGATTACAACAATCAGACCGTCAGACGGACATCGGGACATTGGGTCAGACACGAGTATTTCGAGGAGTTACAAACGGAATGGCAAATTTAATATATCCTCCATAGTATGGTGGAGGGCATAAAAGTGTATACCTATTATATCAAGAAATGGAATTATATCACAAAACGTCATATGGAATTTAACACTTGTTTTACTATAGAGGCAAATCAGCTGGGGTTTGCTGTTATCTGTAATTACTATACCATGGTGTTGAAAATAGAAATGAATTATCGAAAAAATGTAAATGTTTGTAATTTGAGAATATTACAGTGGGTTGAATTTAATGAAGTATCTATTTTTAATATGGACCCGACTAATTTTAGATATGGACCTGACGTATTTGGGTAATACGGAAGTACAAAACATTTTACCATAGTGCTGAAGTTGAATATCTTTGTACACAACGTCGAATTTTAGGTAACGCTGAGAATTTTTAAAATTATTATTAGTTGTATAATTATTTCTTCCATGGAATTGAAGTTATACAACTAATAAAGTACGAACAATTTCGTACCTCAGGCAAAATTTTCGAAAAGTCGAAGAGCTTTTACTAAACTAGAGTTGCTCCTAACTCTAGCTTCAAAAGTGATTCCTGCAAAATGATATCGCGAAGATGCACTGTTTGCAAACTATTGAATTGTCTAACATACCCTGCATTCTACCATAATGTTGTTCCTGCTTAACTTTACGGAGATTTGCAAATCCCCTCAATAACAAAACGGTCTGGCAGGGCTACTTCCAATTTGAGAAATAAAGCTTTTTAAATTCAATTGCAGCGACGCTCTATGAACATACTATCTTAGTTGTTGGAATTTAAGTGAGTGGCGATATATTGTGATTTGTGTTCTTTGGATTTAAATGGGAGCACAAAGTATGACCCACCCAACAACAAAAATTACAAAATCAAGAAGATAGTGTGAAATAAATAAATTGTGAAAAGTTAACATTGTAAAAAGTTAATATTTCATTCGTTGTTATTTATTTGAGCAGCTTGCAAACAAAGAAAATGGCCGGGCTCAACTTGGTATGTCCCATCTGCACGGATGAATTTCAAATGCAGGATGATGTGTATAGCACCAACTGCGGTCACCTCTACCATTTCAGCTGCATGCAGCAATGGAGAAGCCGGTAAGTAGTCCCCAGATTTAAAATACACACGAAGTTATACTGATACTTATGCTAAATATAGGTCAACCATTTGCCCTCAGTGTCGGCATCAGAATCCTTCCACACATAAAATATTCCTACTTGGCAATTCGACACCCACTCCATCTCCCCCTAAAGAACATTTAGAGGACTTGAAGATGAAATTGGAATCCAGTATCGATAAAATAAATGAATTGCAATCCCAACTTGATCTGACTGAGGTAAATTTCCTTCATATGCAAGAGCAGTTTACCAAAGAACGAGAAATAAAACAAAGCATTGAACGAAAACTGGCAGAATACAAAAACAACGACGACAACTTTTTGAGTCTACATGCTCAGTATTCAGAATCAGAGGAGCGTATAAAAGTACTGCTGGAAGAAAATGATCGCTTAGCGGTGGATATTAGATGCAAATCAGATGAGATCGAATCCAAAAATGTCGAAATTTGTATGTTGAAAAAGCAGATGGATACCGCACTTCAAGTTTACCAAGTCGACAATGGTAATGGGAGTTCTCGTATTAAATTTCTAGAACAGCAAAATGATCTTTTATCGAAAGAACTCGCTCGGAAAACTAAAGAAATGTTGGAACAGAAAGATAAAAATCCCGCATCGTCAGAAATAGTCGTAAAATCATTAAAGCAGAAACTACAGCTTATCACAGAACAACTGGAAAAAGAAATTACTACAAGCACACAGCTTGCTATAGATAAAATAAATTTACAAAGTCAAATTCAACGTATGCAACTGCAATCGAACAATAACGAGCAGACCACCAATACACCACAAAAACTGCGAACGGGTACTAAAAAGAAGGAACCCAATACAGACAGGCTTGACATTACTTCGACTGTTCCAGCGAGTGAAGAGTGCGTTCAGGATAACGAACCGAATAGTGGTGTGGTGCTTCAAAAATTTCCCTATAGAGAAATTCGATATCCTTTGGAAGAATTAATAGTATCAATTGGATCAAAAATGAATATACATCTACAAGCAGAGGATGTTTTAAGAGTGAGGATTTTAGATAAATTTACACCAAAAAAATTGCCTACAACTGTTTGCATTCATGTAGTTTTTAGAAAAAACAGTCTAAAGCATTGTTTTATTGCTCAACAACAGTTGTTGAGACCTTTCTTCGGAGGTATCGCCATAAAGGAATTCGTTGATCGAGAAATACATGCGCTATTCTTGTATGCTATAAGAAACCTACGTGGTGTAGCCTTTGATACGATTACAATAAGTAATAATGTAGTTACAGCAAAAAAGAAATCACAGGACGAGAATGGTGTAGTTATTAATAGCAGAGAACAAGTTAATGAACTGCGCAATAAGGCATTACAGCTATCAAATAAGAACGTGCAAAATCAAATTTCTGATAAAATAGTTATCGATGAAAACTATTACAAGATTAACGCTATAAAGCTGGATAGCAGAGAACAAGTTAATGAACTGCGCAATAAGGCATTACAGCTATCAAATAAGAACGTGCAAAATCGAATTTCTGATAAAATAGTTATCGATGAAAACTATTACAAGATTAACGTATAAAGCTGGATTGTTTTTCTTTTTTGTAATTTTCTATTAAAAACATATATACATATATATATATGTATATATATAAATATGTATATATATATATATATATATATATATATATATATATATGTTTATATATATATATATATATATATATATATATATATATATATATATATATATATATATATATATACATATTTATATATATACATATATATATATATATATATATATATATATATATATATATATATATATAGTTAGTGTGTTAGTGTTAGTTACTACGCTTATAACTCAAGAACCGCTGGTCAGATTTTAACGATTCAAATTCGAAATTGTCTCTTACCGGAAAAAGATATAATCCAAAAATTTGGTATGTACAATAGCTATTTTTATTTTCCATGATTTTTTTTTTTTTAATTGGCTTCCTATTTTCGAATGTACATTTTTAGTGTTTATATATATATATATATATATATATATATATATATATATATATATATATATATATATATATATATATATAGTTGTGTTAGTTACTACGCTTATAACTCAAGAACCGCTGGTCAGATTTTAACGATTCAGACAAATTCGAAATTGTCTCTTACCGGAAAAAGATATAATCCAAAAATTTGGTATGTACAATAGCTATTTTTTATTTTCCATGATTTTTTTTTTTTAATTGGCTTCCTATTTTCGAATGTACATGTTTAGTGTTTTTTTTCTTTTTGAATTCTAATATAATGTGTAGTATTTTTCGGGTAGTATAAAGCGACAACGGACAAAACTGTTGTTTTACTGATTTTATGTATTTATTGGGTAAGTGGAAATATACGTGTTATTCAGAAGAGGATAAAATATGAAAAAAATAATAGCGTGTTCCAGCGGTTTTTTCAATTTGGTTAACTTCTTTGATAATGGAAATTGTTTACATTGAATTGTAGTACCGAATTTAATAAAAAAACGATAGGGGTCATATCAAAACATGGATCTAATCCTTTCATTTAGCAGTAATACGCCCAATGAGAATCCAAAATTCAAATTCATTGGAACTGCAATCAGTAAAATGCCGAATAAAAAGAGGAATTCATTATGCGGATTATACAAAATTGTACATCAAATCGAAAATTTAGTAAGAGAATAAATGATATACTGAGAAAAATTATACTGAAACCTTCAAGTTATTTAATTCGTAGGTACCATTAAACGGGAGTGTGTGCGCAATAGCGTTGTGAAACAATCTGGGGCGTTGGGAAATTCTAAGTGAATAGTATTCAGTTAGTAGATCAAAATCCTGAAAGGGTTTAGGGTTCCCAGGCCAAACTTTTTAAGGTCCATTATATATCCGTAACCAAACACAAAGGACCTCAAATATTTTTCTCTAAACTTCTCAAAATTTGCGATAGAAAAGAGAAAATTCGAAAAAAATTCAAAAATTGGGAAAAAAATTAAGAAAAATTTTTTAATGGAATCGAATTTCAAAATGATAGCCAATTCGAAATGGTCTCTTGGCAGAAAAAGATAAAATCCAAAAATATCAAGGAAAAAATTGTTATTTTTTAATTTTGAATGAAAGATATTCGAATGAAAGAAATTAGCGCACAATACGATGTTAAATACTGATCATTCCTGACAGGAATTAACATCTCAGGACCTACATCGTGCTTCTACTGTAAGATGCGAACTCCTAAACCTTCTTCTTTCATTTGGTAATAATCCGTCTAATGAGGACTAAAAATGCAAAATTCTTTGGGACGGATGTCAATGAAAGGGTCACTGCAATATGCGGACTAAACAAAATAGTAGATCAAATTAGAACTTTAGTAGCAAAAGTAATTATATACTCCGGAAAATTCTTCCACAACCTTCAATATACTTTAAATCGCTGGTACAAGTATACGGGGGACTATGCGCAATAGGGAGTAATTACACTATGCAAGAGACAATATAGCTGTGGGTAAATTCTAAATGAAAAGTATTCGGTTAGTAGATCAAAATCCCTAAAGGGGTTTACTATTTCATTATCGTTATCCTGAACGCACCCTTCAGTCGCTGTAACAGTCGAAGTAATGTCAAGCATGTCTGTATTGGGTTCCTTCTTTTTTGTACCCATTCGCAGTTTTTGTGGTGTATTGATGGTCTGCTTGTCCATGTTTCGAACGAATTGAGATAGAAGGCTAAAATTTTGCACACATAGTTCCTAAAAAGTTCCTAAATGGGTCATGTAGGTCCACGTTTTCATATAGCCCCCATATAACAGAAGCTCCCGATATTCGGTATTTTTATGAATTTAGCGGTATTTTTCATTAAAAATTAATTGTTTTGTTTATATTTTTGGACATAAAACTCTGACACTTGTATTACGTAGATGTGGTATGTGGTTGTTTTTACGTTTGTTGTACAACAACATTGTAATAAATAATTAATTATATATTTTTTCAGATTATCGCATTTGCATTCTGTTCTCTCGGTTGTACTCGCACTGTCCTTTCATATACTACATTGGTCGTCCTTACTGATACCTGTGGAGTAAATCGCATCTGTGTGTGATCCACACAGTTGGTTTTGTATTATATAGCTGGTCAACCTGTTCTGTTGAGACGATTGCATTTTGTGGTGAACGTTTTTTTCTTTTTCACAAATATTGTTTATTCCTCACAAAAATATGTTGTAACCTTTTTCTTTCAACTTGTGGCTATAAGTGAAGAGTTTATTTTGTTTTCTATTCAGTGATTCATATAAACGCATGTTTGAAGTATGTTGACACCTTTTTAATTTATATTTGTTCCTCAAAAATATATCCTTATTCAGAGCCTTCTTAAACGACACGTGAAGTGCATATGTCGCTTCAGTTGTAGGAATTTGCATAACAACAATTAATATCATGGTTGACATCGGATCTGTTTAATTTGGCTGAACATTCTTAATTATAACTTCATATATTTCATTACTTGAAGTCAGTCCTCCCAAAGCTTCGATGTCCAAATAAATGCGATGTGGTTGCGGGTTATCCCGTTTGCACAAAGGGCACCTGTTGAACCTTGAAGAAGAAATTGTTTAAATATCTTATTGTTGCATAATCTTTACCTACCTCTGGAGCCAATTTTACAGGCACTCGAAGTGATATATGAGGCCACATATAGTGCTGCATATGTCATCGGAACCTAATATATCGGCACAAATTGAACATGTTCCACCCGTTGACATATCCTTAACAACCAAATAAACGCAATGAAATATATTTATGGAAAATACTTTTTTTGTCACATAATATATATTGTTATCGTGATCGGTATTGTAATTATGATCGTTATGGTAATCTCGGAGAAGTAGATTATAATGTTGGAAGTGAGTTCAAACATTGTTGGTGTAAAGCTACAATTTACCGTATGGCGATTATATAGGCGACAAAATACATATGTATACCGTTTTGTTTACATAAAATAAAAACAACAAAGTAACCAACAAAAAGTTTAGTCACCAACAATAGGAAAGCAGATATTTCGGTTTGTGCTAACGTCTGGCAATACGGTGTACAAAAGCTTTTCCTTGTTATGGAGGGGATCCACCCAATTATAAAAAATGAACAAAGAATTATCTATGTGATAAGAACTGGCCACGTCATTTATTGACTCTATAGTAATACTAGTGTCAAATTCGTTTTGATATTTTATTATTTAAATGAAATGATTTAAAGCATCCAAATTACCCAAATTCCAAAAATGTATATTTTATTGAAAATTAATTGTTTTGTTGTCATTTTGAGCATATATCTCCGACAACTACATTGCGTACAAAAAACAAATGTGTATGTGGTTGTCGCTACGTTTGTTATACAAAAACTCTTGTTGTTACCTGTATTAATCTACCATACATATGAATGTTGTTGCGAAAATACTCAAATTCGGTTGTAACCAAAATGCGTATTACAACGTATATACGTACAAAAGTTAAGGTGCAAGTACATGAAAAGCTTGAAGTTATGGCTAGGCAAATTAATGTCAATTTATAATGGAAAACGATGGCAGGAGTTTTGGACATTTTTTCCATTGTTAGGTCTTTATTTGGCATCTTTGTTTCTAAGGGGGTAGAAAACTTCTTCTCATGAAATTTTCAATTTTCGGAGTAGGGTCCATCTTGGTCTTGACCATATTCATCAATTGATTTGATTTGTCTAAAAAATTTCGGCTACTTTGGGGTAGAGAATCATTATTACAGATAATTGTCCGTATAGGCATTAATTCGAGTATAGTTCCTACATTAGTGTACCTCCAAGTCCACTTTCCCAAACAATTTGTTGTCAGAAAAGAAAGTTTTGTATTGTATTGAATTTGTAACCCCGAAGAGAATATTGGTTGGGAACGTAGATTTGGGATGTACATCTATATGACATAAATTTCAAAATGTCAAACGCATTCAGTCGAAAATTGTGGCAGAAACATGAAAAAAATTATGTATATATATATAACAACTAGCTGACCCTGTCCGCGTTGCCGGCCCGTAGTTTTAGTCTATTATGCATATTTGTCAAAGCATAATTATTCAAAGATATGACTGTTATAAGTGTTCATGTACTGGTCGATTAATTTTTAGTTTTTAGTCAAATGAGCAGTAATTTGGAATTTACTGTATTTTGTACACCTCATAATTGAGGGCTGAATGATTTAAGAATAGCCAAAGTTAATTACTTTTTTAAACCCATTAACACCTCAGATTGTGCATTAGAGTCCTCATAAGTCCGCCAAAAGGTGGACTTGAGGGGGTACTATTACATGGAGAAAATTCTAAAATTTGTAGATATGTTGACATTTTTGTGTACGATTTTCACCACCCCAAAATACACATTTTTAGCCAAATCCTTTGAAATATAGTAAAATCAGGCCTACATTGAAAACTTTCTTCACTCCTTATAATTCAAGATGACAAATAGAGGCCAAATCGAAAATATAGCAGAACAACACAGCATGTCAAACTGAAAAAAATTCACGTGATTTAAATAAGTAAAAATAATTTTATCCATCTCATAATTGAGGGCAGACTGATTTCAGGATAGTCAAATATAATTACTATTTTACTCCCATTACCGTAAGAAGAGAACTAATTTTATTTGTCATTTAAATTGTAAATTGGAGACGCCATAAAGTCCATATTTTTCATCATAGTAGAATTCAATTAAGATTCAACAAATATTCGGTCCCGTGATACTTTCTTATATTTGTAATTTGTTCATGTTTTCACAATTTATTTCATATAGATGTACATCCCAAATCTACGTTCCCAACCAATATTCTCTTGGGGGTTACAAATTCAATAGAATACAAAATTTTCTCTTCTGACCACACATTAGATGTGAAAGTGGACTTGGGATACTCCAATGTGGGGACTTTACATGAATAAATTTCTATCTGTACGATGGTTCCTTACGCCAGGGTAGCATAAATACATTTTTTTAGTGGTCAAGACCAATATGGGCCCTACTCCGAGAATTTTCTACTCCCTTAGAAACAAAGATGCCAAATAAGGGCCAAAAATAGAAGAAAATGACGAAGACTCTCATTGGACGGATTATTGTCACATGAAAGAAGTAGGTCCTCGCTTTAAAATGAGCCCCATTAGGTTTTTCGGTAATTTTTGTTTGTGTAAATGTATTCGCATCTTCCAGCTGAACCACGATGTAGGCTCTGGAGTTGAAAGGTAGATGTCAGTTACAATCGTATTTCGCACTTATTTCATTTTTTTTGGTGAAAAGTTGTATATAGTGAAAAATTATTCTTTATTTCGTTCACAAAAAATCCACTGAATTCAATATGATAATACAAATTGAAAAAAAAAAAAAAATGACAAAAGAATAATAACAAATTGAAAAAATCTTCAACTTGTTCGCTGAGTTTTTACAACAACTGTTTAAAGATCCTTACAAAGTTTGTCAATAAAATGTACTTTTATTTTAAAATTCAATTCCATTGGAAATTTTTTTCGATATTTTCCCGTTTTGAGAATTGTTGCAATGAGATCTCTTTTTTCGTGTTTTTTTTTACGATTTTGAAAAAAGAAGTATCCTTAAACTTTGGTGCGACCGCGTTAAATTATTTCGATATCATCTATTCCGTTTCGCCACCACATAATTCGGTACTACACTTCCATGTAACCCGTCATCAATTTCAGTTCTCAAGAAATCAAGTCAATTAAATAAATTGATATTAATATTCGAATTCAAAAATAAAATATAAAAAAACACTACAAATGTACATTAGTAATTCAAAATGGAAAAAAATCATGCAAAATAAAACATTACTATTGTACATTTCAAAAGTCAAAATGAAAATGTTAATATATCACATTTTTACGTGATTTCTTTTGTATATTATCCTTTTCGGATAGGAGACAATTCCGAATTTGTATGAATCATTAAAATCAGTTCAGCGGTTCTTAAGTTATAAGCGTAGTAACTAACACAACTTTCATATATAAATGATATATGAAATAAATGATGATAGATGTATAGATAGATTAAAAAGTATGCGTGGTCAGTTCCTCAGCCCCCAAACAAATACTTAAGGTTGGAGGGAAGATCAACAGTATCTCGTGTAAAAATTTTTAAAGCCTGTAAGGAATTATCCATAGACTAATAGATTAAATAAATAAAATAAATATCTTGTTTATTTGGGAAAAATAAGAGTTTTACATAAATCGAAATAGTGGGCGTAAAAGGAGACGTGGTCAATATTTTTTTCTTTAAAAACCTAACTCGGGGTATGACAAACGTTTGTACAAAAAATTATGCAAATCGGTCCAGCCGTTTTCAACTGATTCCGTTACCAACAAACAACAATTGATTTTTATATATATATAGATAGATATAGATAGATAGATAAAGAATAGAATAGATATAGATATAGATTTATTTAAATATTAAGATAAATTTCCTTTTTCAATAGAAGATTACAAAAAAGAAAAACAATGGAGTTTTATACGTTAATCTTGTAATCTTATTAATCAATAACTATTTTATCTGAAATTCGATTTTGCACGTTGTTATTTGATAACTGTAAAGCCTTTTTGAGCAGTTCATTAATTTGTTCTCTGCTATTAATAACTACACCATTCTCGTCCTGTGATTTCTTTTTTGCAATAACAACATTATTACTCATTGTAATGCTATCAAAGGCTACACCACGTAGTTTTCTTATAGCATACAAGAATAACCCATTTATTTCTCGGTCGACGTACTCCTTTATGGCGATACCTTTGAAGAAAGGTTTCAACAACTGTTGTTGAGCTATAAAACAATGCTTTAGTCTGTTTTTTCTAAAAACTACATGAATGCAAACAGTTGTAGGCAATTTTCTTGATGTAAATTTATCTAAAATCCTCACTATTAAAACATCTTTTGGTTTTAGATGTATATTCATTTTTGATCCAATTGAAACTATTAATTCTTCCAAAGGATAATGAATTTCTCTATAGGGAAACTTTTGAAACACCACACCACTATTCGGTTCGTTATCCTTAACGCAATATTTAGTCGCTGGAACAGTCGAAGTAATGTCAAGCCTGTCTGTATTGGGTTCCTTCTTTTTAGTACCCGTTCGCAGTTTTTGTGGTGTATTGGTGGTCTGCTCGTTATTGTTCGATTGTAGTTGCATACGTTGAATTTGACTTTGTAAATTTATTTTATCTATAGCAAGCTGTGTGCTTGTAGTAATTTCATTTTCCAGTTGTTCTGTGATAAGCTGTAGTTTCTGCTTTAATGATTTTACGACTATTTCTGACGATGCGGGATTTTTATCTTTCTGTTCCAACATTTCTTTAGTTTTCCGAGCGAGTTCTTTCGATAAAAGGTCATTTTGCTGTTCTAGAAATTTAATACGAGAACTCCCATTACCATTTTCGACTTGGCCACCTTGAAGTGCGGTATCCAACAGCTTATTCAACATACAAATTTCGACATTTTTGGATTCGATCTCATCTGATTTGCATCTAACATCTACCGCTAAGCGATCATTTTCTTCCAGCAGTACTTTTATGCGCTCCTCTGATTTTGAATGCTGAGCATGTAGACTCAAAAAGTTGTCGTCGTTGTTTTTATATTCTGCCAGTTTTCGTTCAATTCTTTGTTTAATTTCTCGTTCTCTGGTAAACTGCTCTTGCATATGAAGGAAATTTACCTCAGTCAGATCAAGTTGGGATTGCAATTCATTTATTTTATCGATACTGGATTCCAATTTCATCTTCAAGTCCTCTAAATGTTCTTTAGGGGGAGATGGAGTGGGTGTCGAATTGCCAAGTAGGAATATTTTATGTGTGGAAGGATTCTGATGCCGACACTGAGGGCAAATGGTTGACCTATATTTAGCATAAGTATCAGTATAACTTCGTGTGTATTTTAAATCTGGGGACTACTTACCGGCTTCTCCATTGCTGCATGCAGCTGAAATGGTAGAGGTGACCGCAGTTGGTGCTATACACATCATCCTGCATTTGAAATTCATCCGTGCAGATGGGACATACCAAGTTGAGCCCGGCCATTTTCTTTGTTTGCAAGCTGCTCAAATAAATAACAACGAATGAAATATTAACTTTTTACAATGTTAACTTTTCACAATTTATTTATTTCACACTATCTTCTTGATTTTGTAATTTTTGTTGTTGGGTGGGTCATACTTTGTGCTCCCATTTAAATCCCAAGAACACAAATCACAATTTATCGCCACTCACTTTAATCCCAACAACTAATATAGTATGTTCATAGAGCGTCGCTGCAATTGAACTTAAAAAGCTTTATTTCTCAAATAGGAAGTAGCCCTGCCAAACCGTTTTCTTATTGAGGGAATTTGCAAATCTCCCTAAAGTCAAGCAACAATAACTTTATGGTGGAATGCAGGGTATGTTAGACAAATCAATAGTTTGCAAACAGTGCATCTTCGCGAGATCATTATCCAGGAATCACTTTTGATGTTTACAAAGGACAGTACACGATATGATACTTTTGCGTTGACACCTTAGTTACGATTGATTAAATGTGAAGAACACAAAATTGAAGCTAGAGTTTGGAACAACTCTAGTCTAGTTTTCCAGAGGTAGGTATTTTTATCCTGATTCCGGGAAACTATTTTCTTGTGACGGTCCCAGGACCCCAGATTTTTGACCTGAAAGTTCGGGTTCAAGACCCGGATCCACTTACCCGATAGGTATCGTTTAAGAGCTTATGGAAATACCTATCGAAGTGGTCACAAGATGACGTAAGGGGTCATGGTTCGGAAGTTATAGTTAAATTATCGTGTTTTGGACCCGGATTTTTTATAAAACCCTCACAAAGTCAAAAAAAAGTCCATTATGAGGGTCAACAAAATCAACAAAAAACCTTTTCAAAATGCTACAATTTGTCCTAATACCTTTTTCGGGTCCAGAGATATTCTCGTCTGTGTACGTTTAACCGGCTCCGCGAGCTATAGCATTTCTAAATTTAACAGTTATTTTAAGTAGCCGGCCTTCGGCCGGGGCTTGAGACTTTTTTCGTCTGAGTATGTCCTACACCGGCTAATGCGAACCAAAGTTTTCTAAATTTGACACTTTTTGTAAATAGCCGGCCTTTGGCCGGGCCTTGTTCTCTTTTCTTCCGGGTTTGTCCAACACCGGCTGACGCGAACCAAAGCTTTCTAAATTTGATGCTTTTGTAATTCCAAAGACTGGTGAACTGGTGGGGTTATGCAGATGGAAAATGTCCATATCTCTGGACTCAAAAAAGGTATTAGCATTTTGGAAAGGTAAGATCAATCATTTGGTAAAAATGCCTACCACTGGAAAAAAAATTCGAAAAAAATTGAAGTGCTTTTACTAAATCTAGAGAGTTAAGCCCAATCTTCTTATATATATACACTAGCTGTACGGGACCGCGTTGCTGGCCCGTAGTATTAGTGTATAATGCATATTTTTAGGAACCTAATATAAAATGTAAAGTTAAGCTTTTCTCTTTGAAAAAACCTAAACTGTGTTATAAATGTTGTCTTACAACCATGATATAAGAATACAGAAAGATGTATAAACTTTTGAGAACATTGGAATGTAAACAGTTTTAAAGGTTTTTTTTTCAAAAATAAGTGGATTTGTATATGTTTTCCTATACGAAACCAATTGGAGATTGTAATGATATGCAGTTTTTAATTTTTTATAAATTTTAATAATCCTCAATTCAAAAATTTAAATTCTGAAATTGGTTTGACAGTTCATTGTCCCAGCAGTTGAGTCGATGCGACTACCTGCATTCTTTTACCATGCTTCTAACTGTAGTCAATATACAAAACTTGCCGATTTTCATGGTTAGCGATTATTGATGTTTTCCTCGTTTTGTGGTTTACTGTTGTATTCTTTTCAACATATTTATTTAAGGTGCACAATATTTATGATGAATGGAGATAATTTTGCATGTACTCCACCATACTATGGAGGGTATATTATGCTTGTCATTCCGTTTGTAACACCTCGAAATATGCATTTAAGACCCCACAAAGTATTTATATTCTTGAGCAGCGTACAATCCTATGATGATGATGATTGCGACATTCTTCACCGGAATTGTTTCAAATTTGGTATTTGAAGTTCGTAATGGATACTGCGGCCTACGACAGGAAATTGTTTGTCCACGGTCCACGTCTTCGTAGAGGCACCATATAACGACACCTCCAGATATGCGGTATTTTAATGATTTTAGCAACATTATTCACCGGAATTGTTTCAGATCTCAACTCATGTGTTACTATTCTTGTTTAAATTTTATACATATAGTTTTAAAGAAGTATTCGTAGCCGATTCCTTCGACCCCAAACAGAAGCCTAGGGTTGGAGTGAGAGTTAAGAGTACGTTATAGACTAACTATGGAACATATATCTTCATTATTTTGGAAAATATTAGGATTTTAATCGAAAAATGAGCGCAGAAGTAGGCGTGGCCACTTTTTCTTTGCATAAAAACTTAACTCGGGGTAGGACGAATATTTTAATAAAATATCCAAATCGGTCCAGCTGATTCAATTACAAACGAATAACAATACAATACAAACGAAAAACAATTCTCAACTGATTCAATTACAAACGAATAACAATTGATTTGCGTACATATAGATTAAAAAGTAGGCGTGGTCAGTTCCTCAGCCTGACCACGAATTAGTGGGCGTGAAAGTAGGCGTGGTCAATATTTTTTCTTTAAAAACCTAACATTTGTAGAAAAAATTATGCAAATCGGTTCAGCCGTTCTCAACTGATTCCATTACCAACGAACTACAATTGATTTTTAATCAGCATAAAATTCTAAGTCGATTTGTCCGTCTGTATGTCTATTTGTTTAAATTTAGCAGAACAATTTGTATTGTGTATAGGATGGATGGTATTGAAAATGAGATCTATCGGTCCACGTTTTGGTATAGTCCCCATATCTCGAAATTCGGTATTTTGATGATTTTTGCCACATTTCTGCTCGGATTTGTATGTTGATAATCCTAGTCACATTTACGCACATAATTGTTTCAAATTTGGTATTTTAGACGGTTTGATAGATGACAATCCTTAAAGTATAAATGGGTCCATAGAGGTTCCCGTTTTAGTATGGCCCCATATAACGGCCTCATACACTTTATGGAGACCCCATAACGTCCATATCTTTTATCATTGTATAATTCAAATGTCCGGTTCCTTAAATCATATAATGGTTATACAAAACGTGATCAGTTTTTGCAAGGATGGTTTCTTCCCAAATTACAAACATTTACCGAAATTATTTATGTTTTCATATCGTTAAAATGTAAGATATAATTGAAATCGGGTTGTAAGCTTATCCGGGTGTAATGACCCATATCACTGCAAAAGCGATTTAAGATATCGTAAAAGTTTAGAAAGAATTTCTGAAAGAATAGAAATCCTTTTCCCTCTTCTTTTTGCGCTCTTTATATTTGAGTTCTCATTGGACGGTTTATTGTCATGTGAAAAAAGTAGGTCCACGTTTGGAAATGAGCCCCATAACGTTTTGTCGGTTATTTTTGTTTGTTTAAATGTGTTCTCTTTCCAGCTGAAGCACGACGTAGATCCTGGAGTCGAAAGCTAAATGCCAATTTCAGACATGAAAGAGCGCCATTTAACATCGTAATGCGTACTATTTCATTTTTGATATTATTCATTTAGAATTCAAAACAATAAAAAATGTACACTTCTATATAGTTTTAAAATTGAAAAAATTTCACTCCAAAAGGATTTTTTCTTTTATATTTTTATTGGCATATTTTACCCCTTTTTTTTGCCAAGATTCCATTCGGAAATTGTATGATTTGTGAAAATCCGTCAAAATGTTCTTAAGTTATAAACATAGTAACTAATAAACAAAGTGAAAAAAATCTTCAACTTGTTCGCTGGTTTTTTACAGCGAAGTTTAAAGGTCCTTACGAAGTTTGGTCCTTACTATTATTTTTAAATTTGATTCCATTTATAATAATTCTGACATCATCTATTCAGGTCTGCCACTCCATAATTGTCGTCGCTTTATATTACCAAAAAAGACTACATTCAAAGAAAAAAACACTACAAATGTACATTCGAAAATAGTAAGTCAAAAGGAAAAAAATCAGGCAAAATAAAACATTACTATTGTACATTTCTAAAGTCAAAATGAAAATTTTCAAATTTCATATTTTTACGCGATTTTTTCGGATTTTATCCTTTTCTGCCAAGAGACAATTCCAAATTTGTGTGAATCGTTAAAATCAGATCAGCGGTTCTTGAGTTCTAAGCGTAGTAACTAACACAACTTTCTTTTATATATAGATAGATAAGAAGTATGCGTGGTCAGTTCCTCAACCCCCAAATAAATCCCTAGGGTTTGAGGGAAAGTCAACACTATCCCGTATAATAATTTTCAAACCGATATCTTTAAAATATGGCAAATATAAAGGTTCCATTACCAACGAACAACAATTGATTTTTATATATATAGAAGAAGAAGAAGATAAAAGCACAATAACAACAAAAATACCACAAGATCCGTTGATCTGATTTTAACGAGAGGTACCCTTATATGGGGACTATACCAAAACGTGGGCCGATATACATATCTCATTTTCAATACCAACCATCCTAGACACAATACAAATTGTTGTGCCAAATTTGAAGCTCTAAGACTGGAAATACATAAAGAGAATATTTGGCTGACTTAAGTCATCGGCTGGCTTCTTCGTAGATGAACAAAGGAGTTTTGGGTTGATTTAGTTCGATTTTGGCCCTGGGCTCCTTTGTTCATTTCCGACGAAGCCAGTCGATGACTTAAACCAGCCAGATAAGCGCTTTATGTATTTCCAGCTTAAGTCAGATGATATGAGCTGTATTGTGATTTCAACAGACACACGGGCCGACATCGTTAAATTCATGGCTCATTAAGAAAGGTTGCGTAACTTCAAATGAACTAGAAAAATACAACTCTGTGCTGGAGTCTTATAGTGTCACGTAGAATTTTTAAAATGCAACAGTTGGTTTTGTTTATTTTTCATTTTTAACAAAATTCTTAAATTGGGGAAAACTCTCAAAACAGGAATGGAATTTTAGGGTTATTCCACAAGATTAAATCTAAAATAGTAGGACAATACAGTTGTATCCCAAAATTGTACAATGTGTTGCCCAATAATGTTGAAAAAATACATTTATTTTTCAACCAAATTGAAAATTATTTAAAAATTATTGCATTTTTTATTCAAAACAAAACACACACATACACAAAATTTGTATATATTTTGGCACCAAAAGAAAAAAATGTATTTAGCTTTGTCCTACCTTCTGTAATTTTGCCATGTTTAAATCGACTTAAAATTTTATACTGATCGTGAATATACATACACTAGAGCCCCGACTTGCGTCGTTTTTCAAAAAACAGAAAATTCGATTTGTGTCGTTGCAATTTCAAGTTGCGTCGTTCCGAGCTACATTGTGGATTACTATTTTTTTGCATTTGCATCTTTTCTGTGGTTTGTCATTTTTACAACTTCTGGCAACACTACTGATCGTCACCTGTACGTTAACACATTTTCAAATTGCGTGAAATAGGTGGAATTTCCTTTTCTTTGTGGTGCTAAGAACAACTGTCTGGTCGTGGTTAGAATTTAGTGTGAGATTCGCCAGAGTACATTAAAGACGTAAAAAATGAGTCAAAATCAAAGAAAAAAAAGTAAAAAATCATTAAGTTCAGCCGGGCCAAACTTTTAATACCCTCCACCTTAGGGTAAAGGAAACATTAGAAGAAATGTGGCAAAAACAATTAAAATGCCGAATATTGGGAGGTACCGTTATATGGGTACCTACACATGCAATGTTTCGCCAAAGAAGCTAGAACCCATTATGACCTACAAATACCAATTTTCAGACAAATCCCAGAAATAATGTGGCAAAAATCGTCAAATTACCGAACATTGGGGCCTATACCAAAACGTGGACCTATAGTTACAATAACTCGCTACACGAACTGGGACCCATTATGATCTACAACTAACAAATTTTTAAACATATCCGTGAAGAAATGTGTCCAAAATCATCAAAATGCCGAATATTGGGAGGTACCGTTATATGGGGACCTACACATGCAATGTTTCGCCAAAGGAGCTAGAACCCATTATGACATTATGACACGAAGTGGGACCCATTATAATCTACAATTTTCAGAGAAATTCTTGAAAAACAGTGTCAAAAATCATCAAAATACCGAATATTGAGAGGTACCGTTATATGGGGACTATATCAAAACGTGGACCTATACATACAATGTTTCGCCACACGAACTAGGACCCATTACAACCCACAAATTTTTAGACAAATCCCAGAAATAATGTGGCAAAAATCGTCAAATTACCGAACATCGTCAAATTACCGAACATTGGGGGCTATACAAAAACGTGGACCTATAGTAACAATGTTTCGCCACACGAACTAGGACCCATTATGACCAACAAATACCAAGTTTTAGACAAATCCGTTAAAAAATGTGGCAAAAATAATCAAAATACCGAATATCGGGAGGTACCTTTATATGGTATTAGAATTTTATGCTGATTATGAATATATATACTTTATGAGGTCTACGACGAATATTTAAGGATGTTACAAACGGAATACCCTCCTTTCCAAGGTGGAGGGTATAATAATAAGTTTTTCTTGATTTATTGTTTTGCTATTTCTTTATAATAATTATAAACATTTTTTGAAATAAATGGGATAAATAAAAATGTATTCATACTTGTTTTTTTTTCTCAAAAATATAATTTTTTTCTTTGTTTTGAATATTGTAAGTAAATTGAATTACAGTGCATTTTGTATATGTATAGAAAAAGGTGATTCGATTTGCGTCGCAATTCTCCGGTCCCAATTAACGACGCAAGTCGGGGCTCTAGTGTACTTTATAGTATCTACGGCGAATATTTAGGGATGTTACAAACGGAATGACAAATTTAACATAATACGCATTTGTATTGCAACTGAATTAGAGTATTTTCGCAACAATGTTCATATGCATGGTAGAGTAATAAAGGTAACAGCAAAGTGCTGTTGAATTTCTTAACAATTTAAAGAGCCGTTAGAGAATCGTGGAAAACGCCATGCCTTTAAAATTGAAACCAAACTGCATATACATACAAAGTATTCAACATTTTGCAATTTTGGAAACGTGAAAATACGATTATATTACCTTATGTGCTATCGCTGATCGTTTAACCCGAAAAAAGTTTCCTAACCGTCGCTGTTGATGTTTTGTTAAGGATAACAATGTTTTGCTTCTATTATTAGACAAAAAGTAGACACATTGAACTGCAGTGAAATTATATGAAAAAAGTGCATATCAAGAAATGGAATTATATCACAAAACGTCATATGAAATTTGACATTTGTATTACTACAAAGGCAAATCAGCTGGGTTTGCTGCTACCTGCAATAACTAACCATGGTATTGAAAGCATTAATGAATTATACAAAAAAATATAAATGTTTGTAATCTGAAAATATTACAGTTTAATGAAGTCTATTTTAATATGGACCTGACGTAATTGGCTAATACGGACGTACAAAACATTTTGCCATAGTGGTGAAGTTGAATATTTTTGTAAACTACGTCCAATTTAAGGTAACACTATGAATTTTCAGCACGAAATTGTTCGTACTTTATTAGTTGTATAACTTCAATTATAAATAAACTAACACAATGCCAGTATTTTTAAAAGCGCTATTTTTGTGCATAGTGAACCGAAATGAAAAAAATATATATATTTTGTTTAACAATATTAATTTAAATATTAAGATATATTTCATTTTTCATCTGAAGTTTACAAAAAAATTGAGTTTTATACGGTTATCTTGTAATAGTTTTTATTGCGCAGTTCATCAACTTGTTCTCTGCTATTAATAACTACACCATTCTCGTCCTGTGATTTCTTTTTTGCAATAACAACATTATTGCACATTGTAATACTATCAAAGGCTACACCACGTAGGTTTTTTATAGCATACAAGAATAACCCATTTATATCTCGGTCGACGTATTCCTTTATGGCGATACCTCCGAAGAAAGGTCTCAACAATCGTTGTTGAGCAATAAAACAATGCTTTAGACTGTTTTTTGTAAAAACTACATGAATGCAAACAGTTGTAGGCAATGTTCTTGTTGTAAATTTATCTAAAATCCTCACTATTAAAACATCTTCTGGTAGTAGATGTATATTCATTTTTGATCCAATTGAAACTATTAATTCTTCCAAAGGATATTGAATTTCTCTATAGGGAAATTTTTGAAGCACCACACCACTATTCGATTCGTTATCCTGAACGCAATCTTCAGTTGCTGGAGCAACCGAAGTAATGTCAAGCATGTCTGTATTGGGTTCCTTCTTGTTTGTACCCATTCGCAGTTCTTGTGGTGTATTGGTGGCCTGCTCGTTATTGTTGGATTGCAGTTGCATAAGTTGAATTTGACTTTTTAAATTTATTTTATCTATAGCAAGCTGTGTGCTTGTATTAATTTCTTTTTCCAGTTGTTCTGTGATATGCTGTAGTTTCTGCTTTAATGATTTTACGACTATTTCTGACGATGACGGGTTTTTATCTTTCTGTTCCAATATTTCTATACTTTTCCTAGCGAGTTCTTTCCATAAAAGGTAATTTTGCCGTTCAAGAAATTCAATACGAGAACTCCCATTACCATTTTCAATTTGGTCAACTTGAAGTGCGGTATCCAACTGCTTTTTCAACATACAAATTTCGACATTTTTGGAATCGATCTCATCTGATTTGCATCTAATATCTACCGCTAAGCGACCATTTTCTTCCAGCAGCACTTTTATACGGTCCTCTGACTCTGAATACTGAGCATGTAGACTCAAAAAGTTGTCGTCGTTGGTTTTGTATTCTGCCAGTTTTCGTTCAATGCTTTGTTTTATTTCTCGTTCCTTTGTAAACTGTTCTTGCATATGGAGAAAATTCACCTCAGTCAGATCAAGTTGGGATTGCAATTCATTTATTTTATCGATACTGGATTCTAATTTCATCTTCAAGACCTCTAAATTTTCTTTACGGGGAGAAGGAGTGGAAGTCGTATTACCAAGTAGGAATATTTTATGTGTGGAAGGATTCTGATGCCGACACTGAGGGCAGATGGTTGATCTATATATAGCATAAATATCAGTATAACTTCGTGTGTATTTTAAATCTGGCGACTACTTACCGGCTTCTCCATTGCTGCATGCAACTGAAATGGTAGAGGTGACCACAGTTGGTGCTATACACATCATCCTGCATTTGAAATTCATCCGCGCAGATAGGACATACCAAGTTAAGTCCGGCCATTTTCCTTGTTTGCAAACTTTTCATTTATTTATTTATATGTTGCAATGAAAAAGCCAAAGTGTACTCAATAATAGGAATAAAAAAACATATTTTAAAATTATTACATAGCGTATCATAAAGTAACATATGAAATTATTTATAAAAAATATTGTCAACTAGGCTCCCCAGCCCAAGAAAAATGTATTTATATGGCTATTGCTTGTAATAGAAAACATAAACATATAAAGGACAACACCTAAACAATTTATACGGTCAACAAAATCCACTGCTACACCATTAACTTGTATGTTAATACTCCAATTCAGTCGACTAGGGGGGCCAAATATCATTGATTTCGCCTTAGAAACATTTACTACTAGACTTTTATTACTCAACCAACGTGAAATATAACCTAATGTTGTATTTATGCTATTCTCTAATTAGAAGCTTGATTGTCCATTAAAAAATAAATGAATGTCGTCCGCGTACATAAACGGATGACAACCACAATTAGATAGGATACTACTAATATCGTTAACATATAATACAAAAAGAAGCGGACCTAAAATTGAACCTTGAGGTACACCGTTGTAAATATTACGTAATCTAGAAGCCTTACCATTACATGAAACATACTGAGAACTTCCAGATAAATAAGAAGCAATTAATTTACATGAATTACGGTCATCTATAAATGATTGAATCTGCAGTCTTATGAGATGTTCCGCAACTTTAGAAAGCGGCTGTAGTATACTAAAATGTCTCAAATTCTCAATAGTGTTCATTTTGATGATGGGAAAAACCATTTTTTAAGTAAAATATTCGTTCAAAACATTAACATCAAAGTCAGTTGAGAGGTTGTCGTCCCTGTCAATGATAACACCGGTAAGAAGTTGTCTCCAGACCTGAGTGGCATCTAGTACATTGAAAAGTTGTTCATAATATTTTTTACGCTACTTTCTAAGAATAGACTTTGCTTTGTTCGATACACCGCCTTATTTTGCTGCGTAGGAAATTTTAAATAATTCGTGTACGCAATATCACGCAAAGAGCTCGCTAATATTATAGAATTGCTTTTCGACCACGGATCAATGGAACGTTTTCTAACGATAGGAACAAATGAAAAATATTAACAATAAGCTAAATTAGAAACGAAAGCTGTAAATTAATATCAGACGTATTATATAAACTACTTAAGTCAACATCGACAAGATAATCAATCAGGCCGTCCCAATTAATATCATTATAGTCCCGAGATTCAAAAAAAAATGTTCCGCAGATGTCAAATTTATAGAAGTGATGCCAAAAATTAAGGAATGGTGAGAAATAGAAGGACATCAGAGGAGATTAGAGAACAGAGGTGACTGCAGGCAAAAAAAAAAAAAATAATTAGAGAAACTGGATCAAAAATGGGTAGGCAACGAATTGGAATTGTCGAAAAAGTTACAATTAAAGTCGCCTACAATCGTAGTTTTATAAAATATCTCTATGTATCTCCTCAAAGTTGTGAATATTACCATGTGGCAGATAAACAACATCAAGAACGACTTTTCTTAAACCAAAAACAAGTTCTATGAATAACGACTCACAGACACCAGGATTTTCAGAGCGAAAAACCACCCTATACTTAATGCTTTTCAAGATATAAATACCAACACCTCTATGTCGGCAACTGCGGACAAATGAGCAGCCAGGAATCGCAACAGTTTTCGACGAAACGTAAGGTTAGGATTTTTAAGCTCACTAAGGGTGGTGTTATAAATAGACGGAAGCAAACTTTGACAATTTAGATGACCAATGGACATACAATGTTTTTGAAAAAAAAGACGAATTACCAACAATAGGACCAAGGTTATTTGAAATTATTAAAAGTAAAGATAAATAATATACTGGGGAACCTAATTGAAACCGAAATTGAGATCATAATGGAATTACCTCTTAAAAAATTTATAATACAAAAGAAAAAGAGATGAAGGCAAAAAATAATATTATGGAAACTTATTAAAAAAGAAAATAAAAACTCTTTCAAAAAAGAAATATTAAAATAACGTTCGCCTCAGGAAGAATCATTAATAACTACTCAAAGATTACAAAAACCATTCAAGTATTAAACAATTCAGCTAGTTTTCTAATCAATTTTAAGAAATCATTCATTGCCGTCCACCAGCAAAACATTAACTCCCGGCTCGTCACTATTACCTAATATAATTTTCGTAATTTTTCCTTGGTTTTTATGTTGCCTGCAAACATACATTAACCTGGCAGAAGCAGGAGTCAGGTTATCGTCTAAATATACATTGGCTTGAAGATTACCACCAATAACGGCATTCAACTTAATGGGAGGAAGTCGGTAATTATCCATAATATTGTCTCTTAAAAGCGCAGAGTTAAACTTAACAAAAAATTTATCACCGGCAAAATAACAGCAATTCTGTATGTCAATTTGATTAATGCAGACATGACAGATGGTGGCACTTTTAATGACAGACACTTATATTGTGAAGACCGCTAGGAAGTCCATTAGGGACAATTTTTGAACTTTTTTGACAGATTTGAAGAATACCATCCTGTACCTCCTTTCTCTCAATACGCTTTCGGCGAGTATCAATACTCGATATTCAGGAATTGCATATATCAATTTCCCCTTTGATGGTGATTAGGGTTGAAGATAATGTGCCAATCCTGTCTTCACATTTCTTAACATCATCTGAAACTTTGCGCAACCCATCCAGAAACTCCTACCGAAAATATGCCACGACATCATCCAAAGCCCTTTGAAAATCGGCAACATATGATTGCATTTGCTGTTCAATTTTAGTTTTCAATGCCGAAGCCATATCATTCACAACAGCAACAACATAACATCATTATCACTAGTACGACCAGGATTACTACATGAAGGTGTTATATTTTGTGAACATTTATTACAAATCCTTTCTTTAATTTAACTTCATTGCTGTTCCAATACATGCCGGATGGAAAAAATTGGGACAAGTAGAGCACCCAACACTGTAGACTTTTCCAATAGTTTTTCCACAAATACGGCATGTATAAATTGTTGATCTGGATGACATCATAAGTGAATGGTTGCAAACAAAAAAAGTAAAAAGCATTAAGTTCGGACGGGCCGAGCTTTTAATACCCTCCACCTCAGGGTAAAGGAAACATTAGAAACCATTATGAACCATAAATACCAATTTATAGACATATTCGTCGGATCATCAAAATACCAAAAATCGGGAGGTACCGTTATATGGGGGCTATACCAAAGCGTGGGCCCAAACATAAAACATTTCAATTTTCAGGCAAATCCGTGAAAAAATTTGGCAAAAATCATCAAAATACCGAATATCTGGAGGTACCGTTATATGGGGGCTATACCAAAACGTGGTATTTTTAATACCAACCATCCTAGATACAATACAAATCGTTCTGCTAAGTTTTGACGATCTATGTGCTGCATCGTGCTTTCAGCAGACAGACAGACGGACATTGTTAAATCGACGTAGAATTATATGCTGATTATGAATACATATTCTTTATGGGGTCTACGACGAATATTTAGGGATGTTACAAACGGAATGACAAAGTTAATATACCCTCCTTTCCAAGGTGGAGGGTATAAAAATCAATCGAGAATGAAAATAAACAGACAGTCTTGCAGGTGTCACAACTGGTGCATCAAAATAAACAATTTTCTTCTTCTTCTTCTCAGCGCAGCCATGTTGAAGTTGTTAATGTATGGAAAAACAGAAACAGTTTTGTTATCTTCTCCTTCTTAGCGCAGCCGTGTAGTTTTTTGTGTACGAAAGCGCGGAGTTTAATTAGCGTGAATTTAAAATATTACCGCAAATCTTCATTTAGACGGGATTCGATTTAGACAAAAAACATTATAACATAGGTGTATTTTACTCCAAAAAATAGTATTTTAAAGATTTTTCCCGAAAGCACAGTAAAAAAAAATAGCAAGTCATGACAGTGCTGCCAAGTATTACTGCTCGAATAAATAAGAATGAATGAAATATTAACTTTTTACAATGTTTTAATTTATTTATTTCACACTATCTTTTTGATTTTTGCTCTTGGGTGGGTCATATTTTGTCCTCCCATTTACATCCCAGGAACACAGATCACAATATATCGTAACTCACTTAAATCCCAACAACAAAAATAGTATATTCCCAACAACTAAAATAGTATATAGCCAACAACTAAAATAGTATGTCGCTGCAATTGAATACTAAGAGTTGAAAAAGCTTTTATTCTCAAATAAGAAGTAGCCGTGCCAGAGCGTTTTCTTATTGGGGGGATTTGCAAATCTCCACAAAGTCAAGCAAGAACATTATGGTGGAATGCAGGGTATACTAGATAACTCAATAGTTTGCAAACAGTGCATCTTCTCGATATCATTTTGCAGGAATCACTTTTGATGTTTAAAAAGGACTCAAGTATGATGCCGTCCATACTGTTGCTTGAATTAGATTAGCCATAACAAGTTAAAAAGCACTAAGTTCGTCCGAGCCGAACTTTTAATACCCTCCACCATTTGCAACGAATTTGGAAATTTTTAAAAAATAAAATCCTTAAAAAATTCTGTTAAAATTTTAAAAATACCGAATATAGCCGTTTTATTGGGGTCTATACGACGTGGACATACCTAGGCATTGTTTGTCATAAGCCATTACCATATTCAAATTGGAAACTTGAAATAAACGGTGAATAATTTGGCTAAAATCATCAAAATATCGTATATAAGGAGGTGCCGTTAAATTGGAGCTGTGCAAAGACCTGGACCAGCATATACAATTTTCTGTCACAGGCTGTAGCATCCATTACGAACTTCAAATACCACATTTCAAACAATTTCGGTGGGTATTGTACCTAAAACTGTCAAAATACCGAATATGGGGAGGTACTGATGTATGAGGTCTATACGAAGACCTGGACCCGCACCGACAATTTTCTTTTACAGACTGTAGTATTCATTACGAACTTCAAATACCAATTTTGAAATAAACGGTGAAAAATGTCCCGTGAATAATGTCGTTAAAATCACCAAAATACCGAACATCAGGAGGTACCGTTATATGGGGGCTATACGAAGACATGGACTTGCACAGACAATTTTCTATCTTAGACTGTAGTATTCATTACGAACTTCAAATACCAATTTTCAAACAATTCCGGTGAATAATGTCGCTAAAATCATGAAAATACCGAATATAGGGAGGTACTGATATATGGGGCCTATACGAAGACCTGAACCCGCACAGACAATTTTCTGTCACAGACTGTAGTTCCCATAACGAATTTCAAATACCAAATTTGAAACAATTCCCGTGAATAATGTCGTTAAATTCATCAAAATACCGAATATCGGGAGGTACCGTTATATGGGGGCTATACGAAGACATGGACTTGCACAGACAATTTTCTATCTTAGACTGTAGTATTCATTACGAACTTCAAATACCAATTTTGAAACAATTCCGGTGAATAATGTTGCTAAAATCATAAAAATGCCGAATATAGGGAGGTACTGATATACGGGGCCTATATGAAGACCTGGACCCGCACAGACAATTTTCTGTCACAGACTGTAGTTCCTATAACGAACTTCAAATACCAAATTTAAAACAATTCCCGTTAATAATGTCGTTTAAATCATCAAAATACCGAATATCGGGAGGTACCGTTATATGGGGGCTATACGAAGACATGGACTTACACAGACAATTTTCTATTTTAGACTGTAGTATTCATTACGAACTTCAAATACCAATTTTTAAACAATTCCGCTGAATAATGTCGCTAAAATCATCAAAATACCGAATATAGGGAGGTACCGTTATATGGGAGCTATACGAAGACGTGGACCTGCACAGACAATTTTCTATATTAGGGTGTAGTATTCATTTTGAACTTCAAATACCAAATTTGAAATAATTCCCGTGAATAATGTCGCTAAAATAATCAAAATACCGAATGTCGGGAGGTACCGTTATATGGGGCTATATGAAAACGTGGACCTACGTGGCCCATTTACGAACTTAACCTGCCTACTGGAAAAATAACCATGTGTGCAAAATTTTAGCCATCTATCTCGATTCGTTCGAAAGATAGCGTGATTACAACAGACAGACAGACGGACATCGCTAAATCGACTTAGAATGTTACGCTGATCAAGAATATATATATACTTTGTTGGGTCTGACATGAGTATTTCGAGGAGTTACAAACGGAATGACAAAAAGTTAATATACCCTCCATAGTATGGTGGAGGGTATAAAACTCCTGTACACGACATGATACTTTTGCGTTGAACACCTGAGTTACGAGATTAACGA